GAAGAAGTTTTCGTTTATTCATTACTTTAAATTCAAGGTTCGATGTAATCTTAACTGTTAATCTTTAAACGACCACCATTTAGTCATGTTAGATGCTTATTCTGACTTTTGTATGCAAGGAATGTGACCCAACTAAACCTTTACAAATTGTAGTTGCATAACCCCGGTATATAGATTACTCTGTATTATATAGGGTAGCAGTGAGTGAGACGCCTGACCGAACTCGGACAACACTGACTTGAGAGTGTGAAACACATCATCATGACCTGCTGTCGCATAAACAATCAGAAAATCTACAACACTAAGTTGGCTAGTGGTACTATGACAAGATATATTAAAGCAAACCAACTCACTGATGCTTACGAATACACAAACGGAAACCATGAAAATACAAGTGTGTTAAACGTGATTGTCAGTATTAACAATCCAAACAAACCACATCCTGTCAAGTTGAGTAGTGTTTAAATACACATTTTTGTTTGACCCCCTAATTAAGAACTCTATGAGGTGGTTCCTAAAAATGACTTGCAGTAAATAAGTTTAATAATAAACAATCAAATATGTTTCCCCAGGCATCTTAGAAAGGAACACTGTTAGATTGCTGATTTCTCGCTGGGGAGACCCCCCAGGAATTCTGCAGTAAAGATCAGCAACATGTTGCTTTTATGGAAGATATGGTTTATTTGCAACAGAACAGTTGTTGGAAAGACAGAAAACATAGTGTCAGGGCTGTCATTGCTACATGTGTGCTGACTAGTCTAGTGGCAAAAGGTTAGTTTGGGTAGAGAACAAAGGGTTTTGGTGTGAAGTAGGCAGGCTGGGAAATTCAGTATTATTGATGCTGATTCATCGCAGATAGTGGGGGATCTTGGCCTCTACCAAAAAGGTGAATTGTAGTAATCAACATCAGTGAGATTACACTAGTCTGATAACATCCTGGTTATTGAACATTCTGTTTCAAAACAACACTAGGATGAAATCAGAATCTAGAGAGATAACCATAAATTACATTTTCAAACACCCCTACAATGGACCATACTATTTCTTAACCGTGAACATTGCCTCAAGCTGAACTCTTATTTTGTGAAAAGAAATCTAGGCAAAACATTTCTATGAAACTCGTTATTTATATGGAACTATTATCCATAAGTCCAACTCTTAGAAAACTCTGAAAATTACTCTTAAAATACTGAAAGTTAGCATACATGGAGCATACAACTGAAGCATACATGGCATTCATGAGAAACTTTTTTTGTAAGGAATAAAGAGGGGGAGTACGGGGACATTTCTGTTACATACTCTTTATGTAGCTAAGGTCCTTGCAAAATTACCCAGGGGATGAAAAAATTAATTAATTAAGTCCTCCAAATGTCACTGTATGATGTCATTGTATATACTTAAATTAAAATTTTGAGGTTAACAAATACTATGCGTTGTGCTACTTCAGTTGTACAAATCATTTCTTGATTTACAATACACCATGAGTAATAATGTCGTGAGCTATTGAGGGAATGTGTTGAGGGTCCACACTACACCGCATATGACACCCATTAAAGTGTGCTACATGACGAGTAGGGAAAACAAAATATTTTTCCAAATAAAAAAAATTTTTTTTTTTTTTTTTTTCAATTCGACGGCCTCCCACTTTTCCTAAAAAAAGTGGGGGATTTTTATTAGTGCCAAGTCAAGCACACTACACTAAAAAACAAAACAAAAACCCCCCACAAAGGGGGGGGTTTTTTAACAAAAATATCATATCATATCTGTGGATATTTCTACGTTGCATGATGCGTACCACAATATATAATTTAGCTAACAAACTGTCTGCAAAAAGGTAGTAAAATAAACCAAAATAGATCAAGTTTTAAAGAAAATACGTCAAATCGATGGCAAGAAAGAAATTACCAAACCTGTTATATCTCATATATAAGTGTATCGCATATTCATTTATCATGATATTGATATTATATCGATTTATCACCCAGCCCTACCAACACATGTAATATGGCATAATTCTTATTATCAGAAACATTAAGGGTCAGTTATAATGATATCTGAAATGATTTAGATTTACAGTAATGGAATTTGCGAGATCTCAAACAGAAATCCTGTTTTTTTGTGCGAATTAGGTAGCTTTTAGTGTTTATTATTCAGCTTATTTACAAATGCTTCAAGCCCTCGCTTTAACAACTATCTCTTACATAATGGCCCTTTCAGACTCCTCACGTGGATAAAATGTGCTTGAGAAAACACAGACAAAGTGAGAAGAAAAGTGAGTTTGTTTGTATGAACTTGTGCGTATATAATTAGGTGAAGTCCAAGAGGTGGAGGTGTGTAACTCTGTGCCATGGCTACTCCTCTTCTCCTGTGTCACTCCATCCCACCCACTCCCTCTCCCAATGTAAGGTTAAACAGCTCTGATTACATCGCACCACCTCCTCGATCTCACACTCAAACACACACACACACACACACACACACACACACAGGTTTGCCTTTGAGGCGCTTACCTTTGGGAGACACGCTGCGGGACTTCTTGCTGTCAGACGGGCACTCGCTGCTGCTGCTCGGGGAATAGGCTCTCTTCTTGCTTAGAACGTCATCTGGAAGAGAGGAGCAGAGCGGAGGAGTTCAGCACCGAGCCCAGGGGAAATAGAGCAAGGCTGCCTCGCTAGCTAGCACACTAGCTACCTGAGTACATGCTGGAGCTGTGGGCGAGACGAGAAGCTGCCACGGCTCTGCCAGAGATGAGAGGGCCCTGTGCCAGCGCCGACGACAAATCTGTCTCTTACCAACGCGCGCAGAGATTCGGTTTCTCTTTCTGTCACTTGCGCTCTCCTTCTGTCTCGCACAAACACACTCCCTCCACTCTCACGCGCACTCTTTCTATGTCTCCTTCTCTTTCACCCTTGATCTCTACGTCTCTCCTAGGTTTACACAACCTAAACCTGGTCTAAAAGTAGTGCACAGACTAAAAAAACACACACACAAACAAACAGGAAGGGGGAAAATCAGACATCAAAACACTTTGTGGAAATCCTTATTCTAGTTTTTCAGACTCACTCTGTTTACAGCCCATATAAACCTCACATCTTAGGCTAATCTCCCTCCGCCTCTCTCCCTTAACTTTCTCTGCTCTCTTTTTCTGTTTACGCCTTCTCTCCCTCTTCCTCTTTCTCTCTCACACCCTTTGTGTTGGAGTCCTGAGGCTGTCTGCTCTAGCCCAGCGCAGCTCGTTGCTCATGTCTAGTGTACGATTACAGCACCCTCCTCCCCCAAGAGCGCATCTCAAATCAATATCCTGCTAATCATGCTGGCAGGGGCTGCTGAAAGCATGGTGCTGCATGCACGCAGGAAGGAAGAGACCGTTTGTCATTGCACTTTCTCTCTCTCTCTCTCTCCTCAGCTCAAGCCACAGATACGTCTTCCTCTCGTTCTCTTTTGGGCTTTCATTGTCTTATGTTAATAATAGAAATGTTGCGACAAACTAGCCGCAGGCTCTGCATCCACCTGGCTGTTCACACTTAAAGCAGACTTAAATAAGACTAGATCCTTAAAGGGCAACAACACATAAACACACTGGACTGCAATACTTCTGAAATCCAAAGCCACACACACTTTTACACATATACACAGACCGCAGTTCACGGCACTTCACTATTGGTGCCAAACACTGGTCACTGCTCTCTCTCTCCCTCTGATAAGAGTGTCTGAATAAGAGGAATAAAAGGAAAGAGAGAGAGAGAGAGAGAAAGAGAGAGATAAAGCAAGCCCATGCATGAAAGGACTTTTGGAGTGGAAGCGCAAGGTCTTGGAGGCTTTGCAAGGAGCGCGTTTCACTAATGATGGCATTTGATGTGTTTCCTGAGATGGAAGGTGGCCTATCCTCTCCTAGAGAGCGAGGGCTTTTTAATAGGCCTCTCTTCTGTGCTTTAGTCACATCACTCCCTTTTTCCACCTCTCTGAATCTCCCACAGTCCTTCCCCTTCCATCCTTGAACGTAACTAAATAGGAAGAATTTCATGTGCAGTGCATCGTTTGCCCCCTGCTATTTTGCTCGCAGAAGATCGATATTTTTATTTCCATTTTACAAAACTCTGTCGTCGAGCAGTACTGTTTACAATGAACCCAACAAAAGAGCAACCTCTGACTGAGTGGGTGCAAATGAGACGAGTGGGTGCAAGGAGAGGAACTTTTAGCATATCGAGAAGCACAGGCTTGCAGAAACAGTGCAATGCTTTAAGGTGTTATTACTAAAGATTGCTAGTCAATGGGCTGAGTATGTGTGCTCTCCTTCCCTGTCTTTTTCCGTCCAACTCTAAACTCCTAACTCTGTTTTTCCCATTGGGCTTTGCAGTGCTATCTTCATCGCTGTCGCTCCTCTCCTTATCAGACCTCTTCTCCACCCAGCCAGAGCCCTGTGCCTCTTCAATCTCTCCGCTTGCCAAAAAGGGCATTGGCCTAAGCTCGGAGCAGAGCCATTCAATCTCATCCATATCCACCACTCATTGCATTCTCATGCAGCCTTGCATAAAACATTCGGTACAGAATCTCTACAATAAGCTAGACACAAGGCTAACATATTAAAATTCAAACAAATATGAATATGTTTACTAAGTTTGAGTTCAAGTTTTATTAGTTACTAGATCAGAAAACCTAATAATCTGACAAAATGCTAAGTTAATGTAATAAATTAAGGTGTTAATTTCTTTTCTATAAATGCAGTTCTGTCAGTAGTTCTGGCTGTAATTCAAATCACGGGTTTGTATTAACTCGCTTGTTCTAATATGTTACCATTTCTATAGTAACATCTTGTTCACAGGGACTTGTATGGTGGACATGCCACATGATCTAAGCCTAATGATCAATTGATTAAAAACTGTGTTATTGAGTCCATACAGGATCCCACAGTGTTTTGGAGGGTTTTCTTGTGATTGTGCGACCAAAAATTCTTGATTTTACGGCTTTTTTTGTTTTTGTTTTTGTTTTGTTGGTGGGGGGGCACGGTGGCTTAGTGGTTATCAAATTTGCCTCACACCTCTAGGGTCCGGGGTTCGATTCCCGCCGGGGCTGTGTGTGTGGAGTTTGCATGTTCTCCCCATGCTGCAGGGGTTTCCTCCCCCAGTACAAAGACATGCATGGTAGGCTGATTGGCGTGTCTGTAGTATGAATGGGTGTGTGAGTGTATGAATGGGTGTGTGAATAAAAATAAAACTTTGAGTGGTAACAGCCCTCTGCTTCATGTCAGGCCACATCACACCACTCTGCTGTTGATTATTTTCCTGTATTAACAATCAGTAGTTACTTTTCTAGTTACTTAGCTAGCTTCTACTTAACCAGCTAACCTACTTAGCTAGTGTCATCAGTAGACTTCAGTCTATCTCACAACACCACACCAACCTTTTTTTTCGCACAACGAAAGTAACCAGAGCTCAGGATCCAACTACACTGTGCCAGTGTGTCATCATAAATTCTGTAATAAAGCTTAGATATCATTTTAAATAATTCAGTTAGCACTACTGTACAATATTTAGGATCAAAAGAGCAAAGCATTCATTTGCATAAGGTTTAGCTCCGCTGAACTTTTAGTGCCACATGACGAGACGGATTTTGCCTTCTTTTATCTGGCGGAATTCTCTATTAACCATTTCATGCAAAAATGATTAAAACATATCAGCATAAATAAACGTATCACGATATGTATAACTGCATGCAATTTCCGAGTAATCTGGACCTTTTCTATATCACTAAACGTAAGTGACGTTAGCAGGTATCCATGGAGTAAAATGGGGGTAAAAACATTACTATTTGCAATGTGTTTGTAAAGTCATTTACTAAGTATAAGTCTAAAAATGGTGTTTTTCAATTATTATTATTATTAAATGTCGATAAGAAAGTACAATTGAAAATAAGCTTTTTTCTATAATTCGTGTATGCACTTAATACACAAAAACACAAAAACAGAATGATGCATGTGCTGCACTTGTCACTGTCAGCCATGTTAGATACTGGAGTAATAAACTCAAGGTAGTGGTGTGTATATAACACTAGAGTGGTTTGGAGGTGACTTACATAGTATATATTTAAACCTCGAATTAAGTGTGAACACCATACACATAAGGGTAAACATGGACTTGAAAGGAGTCACATTCCATCAGTATATATGCAAATTGTTAGTTTATTATTTACGAGATCAGTATACTGAATACTGACAACTTAGTGGGTATATCCAGGTTGGTGTATATCCTGCTGTGCAAAGGGTAAAAGTAAATATTTATAGATAAATTTAACTACAGCCAAAGACACTACAGAGATAGACGTTTGGCTGGCTTTGAGATGGGCCGAAGCCAAAGGTTGAAACAGCGCGGCGTGCCCATGGCACCGACACAAGACAAGCGGAGGAAGCCGGGCTCCACAGCACGCTCCCTCTGCTTTTAGCACTTGGCCTTCGTTCACATAATGCACTCAACAAAGCAAAGACTGGAGGGACGGCATGCAGAGGAAGAGGACCTTATTCTTTACGGAGACTTGGAGGCGGGCAACAGCGTTCACTCACACACTGTTTCTTCTGTTCCTTTAAGAAAAATTCAATTCCCTACTCAGTGCAAACTCTCCCACTGTCTCCCATCCTCTGTCCCCCATTATTTAAACTGTGGTTTTTCTTAGGGTTTTTTTTTCCATATAAAAGACATACATCGTTCCTCTCAGGTTCCACACAGTCAATATGAGGAAACTAAGATGCCAAAAATAGGCCAGTTTGAATTCCTCATAGTTGTGATGTCACTACCACGGATTCATCTGCATACGTCCACCTACAGTATATTTACATATGGCCATTTGTTCAGCATACAACAGCTTGATCTATCAGTTGATGACGAGTGCTCTTACTGCAGTCTGTAGTAGGTCTACTAGACCAGAAGCTGTGGAGAATTTTTTTTTCTTGGCTGTCGGAAAGGAATTGTATCTTTGCATAGCCTTCCAAAGGATACAGACATCAGATAGCAGTTGCTAAAGCTTTTTTTTTCCACAATGTGTCTGGGAATTTCAGTCTGAGCTTACCGGTTTGTTCAGTACTGCCTTTTTTAAATTTATTTTTTTATTTATTTTTTTATGAAGCAACAATAAAAAAACACAATCCTGCAACTATATTCTACCAATATAGTAATGATTATTAATCATTTTTCTGTATGAACATAGATTAGGAGACTGTTAATTGGGATGTAAATGCACTATAGGTGTACTGTTGTTTTCAGTTAAGGTTGTCTATGAGTACCTTCACATCGTATATTCATCTTACTATGTAGCTAACTTTATCTAGCTGGTGATACTTTTTATAATTTTTTATTTAATTATTTTTAATTTATTTTATTTAATTTATTTATTTATTCTTATGCTTTTGTCTAAAGCATGATAATATAACATTAGGTTTCATCATAGGTTCCCAACCCTAGACCTGGAATACCCCTGTTCTGCACATTTTCTGAACATAAGATTATCCACATAAGAATTTTCCCTGCTCCCAACACAATTGATTCAACTAATCAGGTAATTAACAGTCCTAAAGTGGGTGTGTTAGAGAAGGTAATTCACTAACAGTGAGTATATCAGGGCCAGGGCTAGGAAGCTATCTGCTATATCCTAATATAATGTTTATCTGAGTCGTAATGAGACGTAAGAGCCACATGTCTGTACTAAAACGCAATACACCATATGTGTGACAGTCTGGGAAAACACATCAGATGTTGCTGTGACTGAATTCTGGCAAACAGGGGGAAAAATGATGAAAGACTAGGTTGGCTAGGTACATGCTATATCAAAATGAGCATGAGACATAATCAGTTAGGTTTGTAATTAGATACCAGCTGTCAAAATGTCTGTGATGCGCCTGCGCTCCTTAATATTTTCACCTTTTCAATTTTGGGGGCAATTAGACTCTAAAATGTTATTACTTTACTTATAGTACAAATGCATACAAAAGGGAATCTTTTCAGTTCAGGAATGGCCGTGGTTTTAAGAACTATATATAGTAAAAATTTCACCACGGGAGTGGTTTTCCCAGGTTGCCATTCATGCACAAATTAAAAGCAAAAGACTGAGTAGTCCAGCATCTCCAGAACAAAAACAGTAGAAGTAAACTAAGCAGAAAAATTGCAGCAGTAGTTATACAGTAAGCCCCAAGATCATTCAGCCTGCAGAGAGGAGAGAGGAGGAGAGGCTAGGGAAAGAGGGATTTAGTAATGTCTGCCTGCCGCTGCCTGAGGGCCAGAGATCTAAAGGCAGAAAGCCTTTAAGACCAATTAAATGTTGCTTCTTAACACTGTGATGCTCAGATTTAGCACCAAACGGGGAGCACTGGCACTGCCTAGTTCCACGCTCCTGCCAGGCTGGACTCCTGTACTGCTCTGCTCAAAGCCTATAGAAAATATAATAGGCTCTCTCTGTGTTTCTCTCTCCCTTGCTTTCTTTCTCTCTGTGCTTGGGATAATCAGCCTCTCTTTACAGGCACCATAGCACAGTCTCTACTGCTGCTCTTAACCACACTTAACTTCAGTCCCAATTCAATGAAAGAATGGTGCAGGAAAGTAAGAGGATGTGAGAAAAGGACAGAGACATAAAGAAGAAGGAGGGATTTATTTGAGAAGGAGGTGGCCTGTTTTACTCCCCTTTCCCCTTTTGCCTCTCTCCTCCTCTGTCTAGCTGTGGTCACTGACAGGTCGGGCAGGCCAGACTCCTTAATTCCCCTTCCTTATTCCCTTAATCTGTCATCTTTATCAGGCAGGGGAAGTGGCGGGTGATGCGGCGAAGCCACGGCCTCCAATCAATCTCCACATTACATCTGACAGAATGGTGCTAATAACTTATTGATCCCCCTGTTTGTGGGCCTTGGCCGGGGCTTGAAAGGCTATCATTGATTGTCTGTGGGGGGGGGGCAGGGAGGACTACGTGTGTGGGGAGGGGTGCGATAACTACGTAGCTCTTTCGCTAGCCTAGAAGATGCAATGCCACCTCCCTCAACTACCGCTCACCCGCTGAGAGCCTCAGGGGAGTACAGACAGAAAGAGTGAGTGAGTGAGTGAGAGAGAGAGAGAATAAATGGAAAAGAAAAAAAAACAGAAAAGCAATATGGATATGGGGGGAAAGAAAATTATACCAATAATATATGATAAGAAAAAACATGGAAATATTTTTAAGTAGCCCAAAGGGTGATCAATAGTGAAAACACAAATGTTGATAATACAAACAAATTTCATTATTTGGGTCTCCTCTCTCGCACACTTTCTCCCAGCATTTAGCAAAAAAAGAAAGAAAAGAAAGAAAAAAAAAAAGTAAAACACCTTATATGCCGGGTGCACTGGTTTGACCGCAAAGCCATGTTTAGGAGTCTGCACAGGGAGCCAGACGATCTGCTGGCGCCCCTGCCCTCCCCCTCACTTGCGCCTCCTCCCCCTCACCGGGTCGGCCGGAGGGATAGAAAGAGGAGGAGAGAGTGCCGCCGAAGCTCCGTCGCTGGCTGAATGGGACTGACGCCTAGGTTGGCTCTCCTGTCTGACCCTCAGATTTAATTAACGGCCCTCTCCGTGGCGGCGGCCAACCAATCCCCCCAAATCCCTCCCCCCTTTCCCCGCCTGTCTTGCACGACTCTGCTGCTGTCTGTTCTCCCCTGACACCACGCAGGACTCCAACCTGGCTTTATTTTCTTCCCCCTCCTTCTCCCCCTCTCTCCGTCTCCCTGGTTCCGTAACCGCATACCCACGGCAAGTCAGACTTGAAAGGAAGTGAAATAGACTGTGTGAAAGAAACAAAGAATTTTTTTTAAAGCCGCTGGAGTCTCCCAGTTTAGCATGGAAAATGAACACTTGGGCCTCCTTTGATCCCATTAGTAGGACAATATTAACATTTGTAGCACTAACCTTAACACCTACGTGGCAATATAATTCTGTTTTCAACACTAACAGACCCGGAACTAATATTTATGACTAAGAACAAATTAACAGTTGAGACACAGAATAAGCATTTATTATCTGGCAACCAGATGTCATTTTTTTCTGTGTCTATGTATCGTAACTGTTGA